ATCAGCCCATGGGAGTCTCGTTAGGTCCCACATGGGCCACAGCAGTTTCTGCAGGAACAGAAGCGGTGATTCTAATGCGGGTGGCAGCCAGCTGGACTTTCCTTTGTGCCCTGCCCCGCTCATTATATAAACCGTCATTTCACTTCCCCAGGCCAGCCCGCCTCCCCTCCCTCTCCTCCTTAGCCTCCCGAACCATCGAAACCCCTTGGCTCTGACCCTCTCGTCCCGTATCCGGTCCGGTTCCCCTTTACCGTTTGTGTCCACCCCCTCAGGGTTCAGTCCTTCCAGGGAGGGACGGAAACAACAAGAGCATGAGAATGGGAGCGAAGACATGAAACGATCGTTTTTGGGTGTGTGTGGCTGACACGACACCATCACTGGAAGCGTGAATCAGGGATGACACCAACACAAACCAAAGAATTCAACAACGGAGCAGGGTGTGAAAATAACAGGCGCAAAACCAACCCACGGTCTTCCTGCAAGCCCCTGTTCCCAAGCCAGTCGAGAGAAAAACACCAGACAGACCGACACTGCGGGCATTCTGCCCAATGCCCGAGCAGAGCTCCCCAAATTGTCAGGATCCTGGAAGACAAAGACGGACAACCTGCCCCAGGCCGGAAGAGCAGGGACACACGACCACTAAATGCAGTGGGAAAACCAGCGCTGTCTGGACCGGGTCTGCGTTTCCACGGCGAAGCGGAACCATTGGTCTCTCAGTCCAGACACAGGTCACGTGGCAGGTGGAGTGGCCACCCTTGGAAGCTGGGTGAGGGGGGTGTGTTGTAACTCTGTCCTATGTTGTAACTTTTCTGTAAATCTAAACTTATTCTAACATAAAAAGTGTTTTAAAAGAATAAACAGCCATGTGAACAAATAATAACCAGTTAGAGGAGAACTCCATGAGCGATAGCTATAAAAATATTAAGCCCTTAAGAATAAACATAATCAAGCCCTGGCTGGCGTAGCTCAGTGGATTGAGCGTGGGCTGTGAACCGAAGTGTCGCAGGTTCGATTCCCAGTCAGGGCACATGCCTGGGTTGCAGGCCATGACCCCCAAGCAACCACACATTCATGTTTCTCTGTTTCTCTCTCTCTATCTCCCTCTCTTCCTTTCCTCTCTAAAAATAAATAAATAAAATCTTTAAAAAAAATAAATGTAATCAGAAATGTGAGAATCTAAACAAATAAAATAAGAAAACTTCTCTGAATGCTACACATTTAGCCTTAAACACATGGAAATATATTCCTTGTTCTTGAATGAAAGAATTCAACATTATCAACATACTATTAAATTTATTAAAGAGCTCCGTGAGCCCTCTGGGATGGACACCGGGGCAGTTTTAGGAAAGAGGAGTCTGGTTCTCAAGATGCTTGATGCTTTTCTGAAATGTTCATGCCCCATTGCTGTAAAGTCATTGCTAGCTATACTTCTAGTGTTTTCTTTTCTTTTTTTCCAACGCCATTTATCCCCTTATCCCCTCTCCCTCCTCCATCCACCTCTCCCCCTGCAATCCACACTGTTGTCAGTTTCCATGAGCTAGCTTGCTTTTCTTTCTTTCTTTTCTTTCTTTCTTTCTTTCTTTCTTTCTTTCTTTCTTTCTTTCTTTCTTTCTTTCTTTCTTTCTTTCTTTCTTTCTTTCTTTCTTTCTTTCTTTCTTTCTTTCTTTCTTTCTTTCTTTCTTTCTTTCTCTCTCTCTCTCATCTATTTTACTTAATCCCTCCCCTAACCCACAGCTGTGTCTTTCATTATTGTGCTTGTTAGTTCAGTTTGTTTATGGCTCTAATTTGAGGAAACCTTCTAGAAGCATTTCCCCCTTGTTTCTGGGATACATGATTCTCCCCTCCCTTTGTCCTGGCCCCAAGTCTCTTTCCTGTTCAGAGCCTCTGGCCAGACAACAAAGACAGGGTCTCATCTCCCAAAGTTGCCCATTATCGTCTTTGGAATGATAATGGGGCGGGAAGACGGCTCTTCAGTCTTGTTTGTGTCCGCGAGTGCCTCCGCACAGCGGTCCGACAGAAGCCCAAGGCCTCGAGAGGATGAGGGACCCGCGGGTTCCCAGAGGCAGACGGGCAGCCACGTGGGTGGATGGAAGGAGGCGAGGGATGCAGCCCAGGCTGGGAGTCCTGAGCAGCCTGAGAAAACAGACTTAGGAAGGCAGGGCCTGGGAAATGGGTGGCTGCCACAGGTGTTGGGGGTGGGGGGAAGCGGGCACCCCGGGGACAAACACCCCTGCAACGCCTCAAAGCTACTGGCATTTCCCCACCAGGACCTTAGTCCACAGCTCTCTCCTGAAATCCAGCTCTCAGGGAAAACAAAGCCTGTTTTCCTGAAAGGGGCCAACAGAGGGCGCTGCTCACCCAACAAAAACTACAGTCAAGCCCCGCTAAGCCGGTCTGCAATTGCAGATGAGTTGTTCCCTCCCATTACAGTCTCTGAAAATTCACTTTTTTTTTTGGCAATCCAGTCTTCGTTTTCTTTTGGACTTCATGCTCAGCGGAGGTGAACACGGTTTTTTGTTTGTTTTACAACAGGATTTCTGCCGCGCATGTGCCATGTGCATCAGGTCAGTCACCAGCCTGGCGGAGCCCGAAGAAGCACTCGCTATGCCCGTTGGGGCGACGTTGTCTCCTCACACACAGAGTGTGCGTCATTCTTGTGCTTGCGAAGCCAGATGTGCGACCCTTCAGGGACGCAGGGGGCGTTTGGGTCGTGGAGGAAGGGGGGCGGTGAGGGCTGTCCATCCTCAGGGAACTGAGGGCGTCCACACACACACACGCACACGCACTCATGGTTTTTCAGCTGCACAAAATGCGCAGGGCCTTAGGCTGACCATCGCTTCACCAGGGCCTGCCACACAGTAGGCGCTTGTGAACGTGTGCCAGCCACAGCCGACACGTTCAACACCCAAGTGTGCAGAGCGGTTCAATGCAGGCGCTGTTCAGCCTCTGCGGCACTGAATAGCCCCTGACTGGGCTAATGCAGTTTGAACTCAGCCGACTGAATGGGCTCTCTGTCTGAAGAGCTCCTAAATGTGGGGATAAAGTCAATAAATGTATTGACCCAGCTCTACCCGTTTCCCCTCAGCTTTCCTGAAAGCCTGGCATTCACTCTCCTTATACTTCCTTCCTTCCTCTGGGTACCCTTGGGGCCTCACCCTGCCAGAGACCAAGCAAGCTCCCCTCCTAGGCTGGGGTGGGGGGAGGGGTGGGCCTCAATCCCCTCCTTCCTCTGGTTCCTTTTTCTCCGCTGGGTCCCTCTCCTCCAGGGCAGGCCCCAAGGAGGTGGCTGAGTGACCTCCTCTGTCCGGAGCCCAGTCACCTCTTTCAGTGACATGCTCAGAACTTGAGAAGTGGCCTTGGGCACCTCACTGAGCCCATGGGGACCTGCTTTCCTCAGGGAGGACAGGAGTCCCATTCTAGGAACTCTGTGCTCCCCTTTCATCTCCAGCTGCTCTGCTTCTAAGACCCACATGCCCCGGTGGGTGGGAGATAGCAGCCCTGCCCGAGAGTGGGACGGTGGCACTCGGAGCGTGGCCGTGGCCTTTGCAGCGTCACCCAGGAACTCGGCAGAAACGTGAACTCTCTGCTGCTCCCTAGACCGTTGGAGCCAGGAGCTGTGGGGCGGGGGCCAGGAAGCCTGTGGTACAGAAGCCCCCGGGGGTTCTGATGCCAGGGAAACTGAACCACCGGGGTCATGCATTTATGTCGTGGGGAGGGGGAGAGGGCAAGAGGCAGAGGAGTGTGCGGAGCCTGTGGAGCCTGGAGCTGAGCAGTGGGGCAGCGCAGGTGGGAGGGCGGGAGAGAAGGCACAGGGACTGCCTCCTGGGCCGAGGGGTGAGGCCAGAGCCGTGGTGCAGCTGTGGCGCAGAGCACAGACTCCCAACCTGGCTGTTCACAGCCAGCTCTGCCGCCTGGGGTGTATGGGACCCCGGGCAGGCAGCTGAAACTCTCTGTGCCGTTTCCTGTTCTCTGCAGCAGCCAGGCACCCCAAGCCTCGGCCAGGGGCCTCGCTGAGCCCCTGCAGTGCACTCCTGCCTGACTTCTTCGCTCTTTCTGGATCTTCACCCCTGCACCCTGCCCTCACCCCAACACCATGGCAGCCCCCAAAGAGTGGCTGCTCTTGCCCTCTTGTGAGTAATCAGGCGTGACTTCTACACTGGTCCTAGAGCGTCCTCAGCAGGAATAGGCCCCCAGTGATCCCATCGGTGGGTGGCGCCGACTGTCAGCGCCCCTTTCCTGGTGATGTCAGACGCCCCCATAGCTTTGGGCAAGGGGCGGTTCTGAAACAGTGGAGGCCTGTGCCCAGCTACCATACAGCTTGCAAAGACAAGTATGGGATTTATGAAGGGGTCGAGTATGGAAATGAAAAGAAAGCTAAGAGCCTTGACCTTGGAGACTGGAGCAAAACATCCCTGCTTCTATGCTCAGCTCGGAGGAAACGAAGTCTCCTGACTCCTCTGACTCCAAATGGGTCACAGCTCAGTGGTGACCCTGAAGGACTCCGTCTGCAGTCGCTGTTGTCCACACATAAGCTCTTCAGGTTCTCACTCACGTGGTTCTAGGATGGGGAAGAGATCAGGACTGGGGTTATGCATCTCCCATTGCCTTTAAACAAACTTAGGAAAAGAATACCAGGCTTTGAGTACACAGTTAGGCATGGAAGTGATTCTTTATTCAGAATGAGAGCAGAAATAACACATTACAAAATCAATGCTCTGGCTGGTGTGGCTCAGTGGACTGAGTGGCAGCCTGCGAACCGAAAGGTCGCTGGTTGGATTACCCGTCAGGGCATGTACCTGGGTTGCAGGCCAGGTCCCTGGTTGGGGTTGTGCAAGGGGCAACTGATCTATATTTCTCTTGCACATCATTGACGTTTCTCTCCCTCGTTCTCCTTGCCTTCCCCTTTCTCTAAAAATAAATATTTTTAAAAAGAAAAAAAAAACCAATGGATCGTATCAGTTTCCTGTGGCTGTCACGACAATTACCGCAAATTTAGTGGCTTAAAACAACAGAAATTTACTTTCTCGCCGTTCTGAAGGCCAGGACCCTGGAATCAAGTTGTGAGCAGGGCCCCACGCCCGCCAGGGCCCAGGGGCATAGCCTGTGCCGGCCTCTTCCAGCCCCTGGTGGCTTCCCAGCATGCCCTGCTGCTCCTCGGCTTGTGGCCGCGTCATGCGGATCTCTGCCTCGGTGGTCGCATTGCCTCTTCCTCCTCTGTTTGCCTCCCCTGTGTGTCTCCTATGAGGACACCGGACATGGGGTTTGGGGCCCACCTGCATAATCCAGGATGAGCGCATCCCCAAATCCTTAGCGCGATTTCTTCTGCCAAGACCCCTTTTCCAAACAAGGGCGCATTCGCAGGTGCTGGGGATCAGAACATGGATATATATATATATATATTTTTTTTTGGACACATCTTAACATCGTGTTTTTATTAAATAACTGTCTAACGTAATTCCAAATACTTTTTTCTGCACTTGTTGGTTGTGTACTCTTTGATTGCGGCTCCGTATGACAGTAACTTTGTCATTTCATGTTCAACAGAAAGTCCATTTTCACTCCATCGTGGGTGATTTAACGGTGCACGTTATGATTGACGGTTGGGATGCATAGGACATGTAATTCCGCACGTTTACTGTCCCTGCGGTTGCTATGAATTTGTGTCCTACAAACACGGGAGTCTGAAAACCCCTGTTTCACGTGAGTCCTATCCAGAAAGGGAAAGTAAGGCCCCGTGTTGCCTCCCGGGGCTGCCGGGGCGCAGCTCTGCAGACTGGGCGGCCGAACACGAGACGAAGGTGTTCTCTCGCGGAGCTGGAGGGCGGAAGCCCAAAGTCGAGGGTTGCGGGGGGCGGGGCGGGGGGGGGGCGGGGGGGGGGCGTCCTCCCTCTGAGGCTGGAAGACTCCCTCCTCCCCTCCGCCCAGCCTCTGGTGTTGCCGTCAGTTCTCGGCCTTGATCGGTGTACAGCCGCGTCGTTCCAGTCTCAGCTTCCAGCATCACGCGGCATTCTCCGGGTGTGTCTGCGTCCAACTCCCCTCTTTGCATGAGGCCGTCCGTCACCGGGTTGGGGCTCAACCTGCTCCAACAGGAGGAAGTACCTGAGTGTGACCTCATTTCAACTGTCACCTCAATCACGGCTGCACAGACCCCGTTTCTAAACAAGGCCGCGTTCGCAGGTGCAGGGAGCGAGGACTTCAGCCTGTCTTGTGCGGGGACACAGCTCCGGTGCATTTGCTGCTTAGGACCCGGGATTCAGCCCCGGCTCCGGGCATTTATTTTGGTTGTGGTGATCTTCTGGAGGGATGGGCACGTGCTATGAAATGTGGAAACCTCAAATGAAGCCCCGCTCCCCCTGCCTGGGGAGAAGGACCAAAGAAGAAGGCTGTGATGCAAAAAAACGAACGTCTCACGGGGCCTAAGGTCGCCTCCTGATGGGGGACAAAGAGTGTGGGTCCTGCCTTCCTGAAGGGGTGGAGGGACTCGATCTCGCCATCTTCCCGACCTGCCAGCCCCTCCAGGGTTGCAGGGCGGTCCCCGGCGAGCACTTCCTCGGAGCCAGCGTCTCCCCTGCTGTACTTTCACCCCACTTTTTGTGTGTGTTTAGGGGTCTCAGGACAGACAGGGACTGTTGTGCGGGCTCACCGTGAAATCCTCGGCGGCCCCGGCCCAGCCCGCCAGGCCTCCTCCGGGTCCCGGCAGATTCCCGGCGGCGGGTCGGCGGGCGCTCCCGCTGCTGCGGCTGCGGCTGCTGCTGCTGCGGGATGACCTCGTTGGCACCGCCATTCAGAAGCAACCGGCCCGCTCAGCGGAAAGTCCTTCGCTGCTGACGGGCGGGCAGGCCCCGTGTGTGGCGTTTTCCCTTTCCCTTGCTCCGCGGGGTGAAATGATTCCTGCAGATGTCCCTGGGATAGCGGGAGACCGAGATCACCGGCCGGCTGCCGAGGGCGGCGCGGCTCCCCGACTGGGTCCGCCCGTCGCCACGTGGGCTGCGGTCGGGGCAGCGGGAGCAGCTGGGAATCACATTCGGGAACCGGCTGCTCGGCTGCGGCCAGGGCCTGAACGCCGGTTCGTGCAGCTCCTTCCCTCTCCCGCGGCGACGGCGACGAGGGCTCCCCCTGATCACAGCGCTGCCCCCGGGACCTTAGAGAGCAGCGTCTCAGTGGCCTGGTCCAGTCGGGGGGTGGTGGTGGTGGTGGTGGTGCGCAGTGGCAGACTATGGGGGCCCCCTGGGCCAATAATCTGTGGGCGTCACCGAGGGATGAAGAAGGCAGGACCCCCCCCCCCCCCCCCCGCCCTAAGGACTCAACTCGGGGGATCTAGACAAATTTAAAAAGTTATACCAATGGGTCCATGAGACTCTGGGAATAGCCACCACCTGGATAAGGAGCAACGGATAGATGCTAGCATTGCGTCTTTTGTGGCAGACCCGTCTTACCAAACCACGGCCAAAGGAACTTTCAAACCAGCCAATCAGCCGCGGCCGTAGCCACAGCGGGGTGTGGTCACCAACCCCGGACTTCAGCCTCCGCACAGCCGGAGAGTTCACCCAAGGCCAGCAGTACACACTTCAGGACAGCCATTCCCACTTTCAAATGTCAGAGTCTCTTTAAGGAAGAGTCTGGTTTGCAAATAGCCGTTAGATCCTGTTGGGGCCCAGGGCAGACCACCCCGAAACAGCCCACCATGGCACATTGATTACTTTGGATTCGAGTTCCTTGAACACGCAGCCGGTGTGAGAGGGGCACATCCACCCTGTCTTGTCCCCTTGAGCACAGGACGCAGATCTCCCCTGTACAAAGGGCCCCCCTTGATCTGGGGGCTAAGAGAGAGCCACCTTTATGGCGAGGCAAGGAACCCAGGGCTGAAAACCTCACAATAAATCAGCCTTGTGACTCCTTTTCTAACTTATTCCCCAAGCCCAAACATGGTTAGGTGCCTCGCTAATTAGCCCCCTGACCCGAGGGTCTTTGTCCTGCCGGTGCTTCACAAGTTTGTCGTCTCTTTGGCTACAAAATGTAACGGGCTGCCTGGTTCATCATTTCTCAGGGCCTCGTTTACCATCTCCCAAGCACATGTATGATCTAGGCCTTTCTTTCATCAACCTGCTGTGCCGTGAACGAACTTTTCAGTCCAGCCACAGCACTCAGGACGGGCAGAGCGGGGAGCGACCCCTGCCCCATCGGTCTCTGTGCAGTGAAACTCTTCTCAAAGGGGAAACAGACACCGATGGGTGGCGGGCGCTCCCCTTGGGAGACCCAGCCGAGCCCTTCCCCCTCCTCCCCTCCCCCCGGCTGTTTTCACCCTTGTTGATGTGTAGGGGTGGGGCAAAACCCCTCTTCCACCCTCTTAGGTTCTACAGCAGGGGCCTTGGAGATGAAGCTGGCAACGGACTAACAGGAGAAAAAGCATACACATTTTATGTTATTTATATATATATATTTTTTACATTTTATTTGATGTTAATATTTTAGATGCACATAGAAGACCTTCATATAAGGAAAACGAAGACCCAGAGAAGTGTTTGGGCCTGAGAGCGTAGATGCCGTTTTTGCCAAGAACGTAAGTTGTGGAGATGCCACAGACGGAAAGGAACGGGACTGGGAGCTTCTCCAGGCGGTCAGTTGTGCAAAGGCAGCTGTTCCGGGGACTCTAATGGAAGAGCAAGGGGGTTCAGTGAGCCCCCTCAGGCAGAGTCCTGGCTGTGGGTCGTGCCTGGAGTCATCTCCGGTGGTCCGGGTGATTCCGGGTCACTCTGCCCTTCCGGTTTGAGGGAGGGGAGGGGACAGCTCTGAGGCAGGACATAGTCAGGAAGGAAACTCCACGGCTGAGGGAGAGGCCCCGCAGGGCTAAGATAAAAGACATCCATACGTGACAAAGACCCCCTAAGACCGGATGTTCCTGTTTTCTGGAATAACTCTGAATATGGTGGCTCAAGGAATGCACCTGCGCATGACCCCTGATTCATTATAATAGCGTTATAATGAATTAACATTGTGGGACTCCCTTCTCCAGTAGCCAATCAAGAAAATCATGGGAGGCCACACATGCGCGGTAACTTTGAGATGCAACTCCTTGTACATGTGCAATAGAAGCCCACCAAAGACTAGCCAGGGAGCTTCTGCCCTATAAGAATAGGATTCCTCCAGCCCACGGGGTCAATCTCTGCTCAGAGTTGGCCCATTCCCATGTCCTGCGGAGTGTACTGTTGCTTAATAAATCTTCCCTCTTTCTTTATACTAGAAACTCTGTGTGTTCGGTTCAGTTCTTTGTCCTCGATCACTAAGAACCTGGTTACCTGTGCCCACCTGTGACACCTCCACAAAGGGATACCTCTGCCCTTCATTTAGGCAAATGGGAAGAGGCAGAGAGGGCTTGTCTGTGTCTTACTAAAGAAAAGCCAGAGCAGGGTAGTTGTTCAAGTGGTGGACGCAGGTTTTATTCAGGACCATTGCAACAGGGGAAAGGAGGCCCGCATCTAGACTTGAGCTCAGGTGGGACTACAGTGTGGGCGAGTGGGACTTTGCAGCCGGGGGTGGGGGGGAGGGCAGGGGATGGACAATTACTAGGGAGGAAGCATCAGCGGGGAGGGGGATCTCACTGGCCTGGCCTAAGAGGGTTCTTGCTGAAGGCGATGGGACATCCCTGGCGGATGGACAAGGACCAGGAACCTGCTTGGATACTGAGAGTGACCAGAAACGGAAGGGGGCGTTCTGACTGGGCTAACTTTGCCGCAGTCCAGCTGAAACTGGGCAAGGCGGCGAGGAACACGGAAGGACGCAAGTCTGGGTCCGCCCGAGCAGAGGGAGGGCTCGGCCTCGCCAGCCGAAGCTAGGTCAAGGGCAGACACCGGGTCAGTCTGCTGTTTCCGTTGCCTTCAGGTCCAGATCCTCCTGGGGCCGCCGCGGCCTGTTCGGAGTGGCAGAGCCAGACCGTCACTCTCAGGGAGGCCTGCCTCACCGGTGGCCGTCACCGGCAAGCTCCTGCCTGCACTGGGCAAAAGACCCACTTCACTAACTTCCCGGCCCGAGGCCTTTGACTGTCGTCGCCGTGGCCAGGACTCGAAATACAGGGACAAAATGTCCCACAGTTTAAAGGACTCAGTAAAAGAATGTATAGAAAGAGGCTAATGTATGGCCCCAATTACCTTAAAAATGTGCATGCGTGAGCACGTGCACATAAAAAATGTATCTGCAGTTACACACTCGGTGATGATGAACATCTGTCTCCCACCAGAGCGTAGACTCTCCGAGTGTGGAGGATGGTGTCTGCTGGAGCCTGGAAAACCCCCGACTTTCCAACCAAATGAACGAAAGGATTTCTAGCAACCAAATGTATTAGATTTCCTTGTCCTTACCATGCCTTCGCTAGAAATGGCTTTCTAAAAAAACACCCTGATCTTTCTTTCAAACTAGAGGATGAAATGCTTGGGAAATATTTTTAATCTTGTTATTTAAAAGTGACCATCAGCATCCCAGCTGCTGTGCTCAGAAACCCACCATTGGGTTCCCATGGAGACCAGTCTTCCTTCGCAGGCTCACAGCTGGTGGGCGAGTGTGGCAGGGCAGGCCCGTGGCAGGGACAGGTGGCTTTGGTGTAAGGACTCCACGTCAGCCTTGCCTGGTGTTCCTAGAACTGAACTGCGGTCTCCACCTCTTCCATCCAAGCTTCCTCCCTCCCTTTGCTCCTTTTGAAAACAGGCTGATCCTCTGTCCGGTTTCCAGGGTGAAGCTCGCGAATCAACAAAGTAAATGAGAAGCATCCGTGGGTAGAAATGGACACAGCTGCCAGGCACGTGCTTGCAGCAGAGCCTAACGGGGGGAGTCCCAGGGCCTCCCCAGAGCCAGGGCAGCGAGGATCCGCCAGTGCTCCCGTGTCCCTCAGGGCCCACGTCAGCTGCAGCCGTCAGATACAAAGTTTCTCCCGAGAGCTTATTTGTTGTTACCCACCCTGGAAAAACCATGGGGAAAGACCGCCTGCTGAAATGGAGATTCTTCCTGCATGAAAGAGGATTTGCTACAAAGTGAAACAAACATGACTTGTGCTGGCAGTATCCCTCCCAGTTCCCAGGGGAATGGCAGCGCGAGATACAAATTTAGCTGAGGTTTGGCACGGATTTAAGAAGGGAGGTTTTACGGATGAGTCGTGTGGCTTGGAAAATGTCATACTGTAGACACACGTGTGCTTATTGTGTGTGTCCTCTTCTCACTGGACATGGAACGCTTCATGGATCACGAGCATTTTCCCGCGTCAGCGGCACAGCTCCCCCTCTTTAACGCTGACGCAGCAGGTTGTGGAACGGCTGCCCCACTCCACTGCTCCTTTTCCTCGCTGGCCGTCCGCCCGGAGCCTCCCTTAGCTGGGAGCCTTCTCAGTGCACTCCCTGTACTCACTCCTCGGGGCACGGCCCCTCCTGCTTCAGGCCGGCACTGGTGCATTGAGTCCTTCTCACGCTGAATTTGTCCAGGTCCCCTCCTGCTGCACCTCTTCTGCCTCCAGTCAACCTACAGCTCCTCCCTGCCCCACCTCCGTAATCCAGCTCGCGTCTTCAAAGTCCCCTTCCCGCAGAACGGGGAGCGCCCATCTTCTCGGGTTCTCAGGGTTCATGTGGGGGCGTCTCTGGCGGCCGTGCTGCCTGCCGCAAGGTGCTTTGCATCACGCGTGCACGTGGTCGGGGGCTTCGTGAATGTTAATTGCCTTAATGTTCTGCTCATTCAGGCTCATGCCACTCTTACTTTACTGTAGAGACTATCATAGTAAATCTGTTTGTTTCTCTTGTAACCTGGGTCGCATCTCACACGGTCTAGGTTTCCTCCACTCGAGGGTCAAGTTTTGAAGAAAGAAAAAGGGCCTCAGCTCTAATCTCAGTTTTCAAGTGACACTTATTTTTCTCCCTGTGCACAAAAATGTAGAACTGGGGACCAAGAGGAGTAATGTGCCAGGAAAAATCTTGTATCAGTTAGGATTAGGTTTAGCCGGGTGACAGAAAATTTAATTTTTAAAGAGGTAAAGTGGATTACACAAGATGGAAGTTTACTTCTTGTATATAAATGTAGTCCAGAATTACTCAAGAGCTGGTACATTAGATCCACAATAGTCATAGACCCAACTTCATTTTATTTAATTGCTTCACTTTCCCCATAGGGCTTCCACCTCATGGTCCAAAGTAGCTGCTTGAGCTCCAGCCATTACATCCACCTTCTAGTTGGCCAGAAAGAGGAAAAATGAAAACATTAAACATAAGACTCCCTTTTATATTCCATTGGCCAAAATTAATTCTAAGGCTACCCCTAACTGTAAGGGAACCAGGGAAATATAATCTATATCTAACTGGTGGTTATACCCTGGATGTGTTCATGTTATTAAGTAAGCAGGAGAGAATGGATATAGGGTGTTGGGGTGCGAGGAAACTAGCAGTCCGCCGTAGATCTCAGTCTAAAATTATTTCTGGTTTTCTTCTGAGTCCTCCTACTGAGTCTCCCGGAGCTCTGGGTAACAGAGCAGAAAGCAGACGCCGGGCACACTGATTGCCAGGGGGCATTGCAAACATTGCAACAGGCCCAGAAGGTTGTGGACTCATGAAACAATATTGGGAAACTTCTTGTATTGCAGCAAAGCCCGTGACTAATGAGTACCCATAACGAGTACAACTAATGAGCACAAAGGAAGGCACCACCTGTAAATGATACTTCAAAACAGTATCATTTGATGATGCAAGGGTTAGGGAAAGCACCTGATGGAGTTTGTGAAAATCACCCTTTTCGCTTTGCCTTTTCTTGAGCACATGAAGGGTGCGATGTTATGCAGTGTTTTCAGAAAGACGTACCAAAAGCTATAACCCCAACCCTTATCGTTGTTTAAAGGATCACGCCGGGTCACGGTCCCAACCTAAGTGGGTTGGTTTTGAGTGGCATTATTCCAGGGTGATTGGCTAATGATTATTCTGAAACTTTTGCTCTAAATAGCTGCTATGTTCAAGGCCCAAAGAGAAAAGAGTTTCATTAGTCACGAGCGTCCTAGCCTACGAAGATAACCCAGGCCCTGGGGGAGAGAGAGTACGAGGGTGGAAGAGACGGGAAGAGGAGGTCATCCAACCCCGCTGTGTGGGGGTCAGCAAGAGTGGCAGGGCGGGGTTCCTGGGGTTGAGGGGACAAACGCGCCCCTCCTCTGGTCAGCGACGGCACTAGGGGCAGTAGAGGGTGCAGACAGAGGCAAAGGGTCGCCTGCTAAGGGAACCCCAGGGAGGCAGAAGTGCCCATGCAGTGTGCCTAGTGCAGCTCACCAGAGGTAAGCTCTCTGGGAAGAGGGGCTCGCGCCGTTGTCGACTCTGGAGTCCCCGGTGCCTAGGACAGTGCCTGGGGCGTTGCAGGTGCTCCAAAGCACTGTTCGCTGAACCGGTTGAAGGAATGGATGCTTCACGAAAGCAGGATTGCCGGGGGCTGGGGGGCCAGCCTAACTAGAGTGTAGGATGACGGGTGGAGGTGGTGACCGTTGGGGGTTGAAATCAGGCGGGTCAACAGGTGGCAGCGTCTCTACTTCGCAGGAGGAGAAGCTGAAGGCCTTGAAGCAGGGAAGAGTCCCGACCAAGCTTAGAGTTTAGGAAGGCAGGTCCCCCGGCCCCGGCGGAGGGTGGGAGTCGTCAGCAGGAGCAGCCTGGCGACAGGCAGCAGCGCTGAGAGGCCAGGGGACCAGAGTGCCTTCCCTCCTTCAGCAACTGTTTACTGAGCATGTGCGATGCATCGGGCGTTCAGGGGTAACACTGGTGAAACATCGCCCTGTCCTTCCCTCTTTAAAAATGGAACCGTCGCCCTGGCTGGCATAGCTCAGTGGATTGAGCGTGGGCTGGGAACCAAAGTGTCGCAGGTTCGATTCCCAGTCAGGGCACATGCCTGGGTTGCAGGCCACGACCCCCAGCAACCGCACATTGATGTTTCTCTCTCTCTCTATCATCTCCCTCCCTTCCCTCTCTAAAATAAATAAATAAATAAATAAATAAATAAAATCTTTTAAAAAAACCAAAAAACGGAAACTTCATGGAAGGTGACGCCTCCGTGCCTGATCTAGCAACAATCACAGCGTCCTGTCCTGCCCTGGCAGGCAGAGGGAAGGCCGCATGGACACACACGGCCTCTGTGGGGAAGAGGGAGGGAGAAGGGTCCACTGAAGCCCAGATGACATGCATTTGGTCTGCTTTGTTGTCCTGCTCGAGCCAGGCCAGCCCCATGGGGCTGGACAGCGATGTCATCTGAATGAGGAAGTACTTGGATGAGAGGCCTCTGGGGGCGAGCTGGTATACGCAGTCACACTCCACGTGGGAGAACCGCAGGTGCTCCCAGCCGGGCACCTCACGAATCACACACTTCACTTCGGGCTTATGAAAAAACGGCATCTTGTCCTTGAGTCCTATTCATGACACCAGTTATGTGCCATTAAGGGGCACACACAAGATCGTGGCCATTTAAGTTGGAGGCTCGGACTCGCAGACCATGAAAACCCCAAATCATATGTGAATAAGGAAGCATGTTATTAAGCAAGAACCAAGCGAAAGCAAGAATCAAGATCATACATCACCAGATGGGAATTCACCAACTCCCCAACACAGGTGATGGGGGATCCCGGAGACGCATTCGGGGTTCCCCTGGAGAAGTTCTGAGCACAGCATCCTCCTCTTGGGTGAGATTCCACAGGGGCATTGTGGGGGGCTGTGCCTAAATACATTTTAGGCAAGAGTGGATACGTGCCGAGGGCCCTGTGTGGCTGGACTGACCAACCGGTCCCTGTGGGAGAAGGGCCAGCTCTCCCCGAGGGAACAGTGCACTGTTCCCTCAAAGTACTGATCTCCCGGGGAGAAGGGCCCGTTCCCTGGGAGGGAGCACAGGCACGTTTTGTTCTTACAACAGAGGTCACGGCTCGGGCAGAAACAAGGAAGGTTCTCCATGTCCCTCCAACCCACCCCCGAAAAGCTTCACAATTGTTGTAGATAATTCCTACACTTTCCTTTAAGTGAGAGGCCGGTGATTGCAGGGATCTTGACAGAAAGGCTGAGTAATTTTCCAAGTGTGGTCTTTGGACCACCGCTTGCCCCGTGTCAATCCGGTGGTTAGGAGGCGGGGTGACAGTTTCAGAAGAAAGTAAGTTGATGTGCATATGTTTCATAAATGTTCGTATGGAAAGTAAAGCATTGTTCCAGAAACACCACGGCACTCTTAATACGTGTCATGCTCTTTCAGGAAACCCGGGTCAACATGGGTCAGCTGGGCTCATAGTCACTGAGGGGGGGGCTGGAGCCTGCTGATGGGATTAGTGAGTTATTTCTTGTGCTCGCTCAACTTCCACTTTCCTTTGTTCCTTCTCTTTTTCTGTCATATGTCCCCATTCATCACATGCATTTAACTACGCTGACTGGTTCATTAGAATAAAAAAGACACGATCAAAATCAATCAATACAATTCTGCAACACAGAATAATGTCAAAAATAACAAAAGTAGAACCGCAGTGTGAGCACTGGACACAAATGTGCGCGTCTGGGACCCGCGGGCCCGTCAGGGTGATGGACATGTGCAAACAGCTGTCAGGGGCGGGGCGAAGGAACTGCTCCTCAGCAGGCACCTGAAGCTGCGCTTGGCTGAGCCTGTATCGGCTCAGTCTCCTCTTCTTTTCTCCTCCTGGATGTGTCATCTGGTGTGAAACCATAAAACAATGGCTTGGAACTCATCAACGCCTTGCATGACTTTCAACCAAAGCGGAGGACCTTTCCTGGTAAACAAATTACATTTTCTAGGACAAGTGTGAAATTGCAACAGGGTGCAGCCAAGGGCGGGGTTTGGGGGGGACCCAGATAGGGATTTGTAATGGGGTCCAGAACTCAGTGTTCAGGAAATATTAGAAAAACATATGTACATAGGATGTCCTCACAACCACAAGTCTGAGTTGCGCGATGGGACACAGGGAGCAGGGCCATTGAGAACTGTTTTGCACAGCAACAGTTTTGCAGCTAACCTCTGGCATGGTCATTTAACATATCTGTAACCTTTAACTGGTTTTGTAGATATGTTAAACAGCTGTGGCCCTGCTTTGACCCAGAGGGATGGGAGTGACATCACCCAGGATGTAACTGGAGGCAACTCCCCCTGGTTACAGAGCCTGCATAAGAGCTTGGAGATGATTGGCTCCACAACACAGGGCCACACCTGCCCAGGCTTACTATGGCAGCCCAGAAAAGCTGGAAGAATACGAGAATGCTGGCAGCTGTGGCCAGTTGTGGGAGGAGTAGGACATGGTGCGGCACAGGAAGATTTGTGCTGGGATTTAAACCCAGGCAAGGCAGCCACGCGGCATCTTTTTGGGACCATGAGGCTTGGGCAGAGAAGAACCATGGACTTCTATTTCTTTTTCTGAGATACGGTACCCCAGACTGGGCAGAGGAGGAAGGAAGGACTGTGCGTTTGTGGGTATTCTAAAGGACTTTGGGGTCTCAATGAGGACATTAAGTCATTACTCTTGAGTTACCCTTGTATAACTCTTTAAATAAATAATCCCTTTCCTTTTCACCAGTCTCTGGTACTGAGAGAGGTCTTTCCCTGGAGGCGGGCAAGGTGAACCTAGTACCAGGTGGGGGACCCCCAGAGCACAAGGGTGGCTCCTTTCAGTAATAGGATATTGTTCACTGCCCTTCCACACCCCACTGGGTCTGTTCTGTAACAAAATCATGCATTTCTGGGGAAAATGAATGGGTGGTATTCCTAAACTGGAGAGGTCCCTGAAATTTTAGTGACAACAACCAGGTTAAGTGATACACCCCTGAGTGGTTGTTACCTAGAACTGCAACCATCTGAACAGAATGACCAGGTTGGGGGGGGGGTGGATGCCAGGGGTCATGAACTCTGTTACCCCAGGGCTGCGCAGCTGTGTCCCAGCTGCTGTGTGTTTCAAGTTGAGGACAGATGTACGCAGATTTCCCACTGCATATTGGAAAATGTGAGATTTTCACGGGCGTAGCTGCCAGAATATCACATCTGTCCTCGGAGCTTTAATTTATTGGTCAAGCCCCCATGGACTTAGAAAACAGATCACAGCCCACCCAGCACCAGGAGGAATATAAACCATGTCAGCGATTGACCTGCAGGCTTATGCTCCCTGCCGTGACCTGAAGATTCTTCTGTGGCTGGAGGAGGTGAGTGTGGTCAGTTCAGAATCTACCCTCAGTCCTTAGATGCAGTTGGGCATTTCACCCAGGGGTCAGCTGTGGCCTTGAATTCCTCATCTGTGCCAACTGACTTCTGTCATTTTATTGGCTGTCCCATGTCTCTGTCCTGTCCATATGGTGAGAATTTCCCATTGTGTGTGGTACTGGTGGGACCCTGTGACCTACGGCACCCTATGGGACTTGGCGTACAGAGTTCCCTCTGCCCCCCCATCCTCTGCCGGCCACGGCACGGGTGTGTGGCTTAGAGCCAGGCAATCGGCTACTCCCACCCAGGACCTGAACTTGCAATGAATGAAAAAGAATGAAGAGTCGGCTAGGATTGAGACGCAGCGGCTTCAGGGGTGCCCAGGAGGAGGATCTGACTCCAGGTCAGTGACATTACAGCCTGAGAGGTTCTACTGCGAGATCATTGATGGACTTGTTGTGTGGGACCCTCTATATTGCCCTTTTTTTCGCATGTGTTTCAAGTCAGGTCCTCTAGCGGCCAGTCAATTCCGTGAGCATCTCACCACTGGCCAGTGCGAGACTTCCTGCCGCAGACGACCGGTGGTGGCTTCTCTTGCTGAACATCCTCATCCCCAGTCGATGCAGAGGCCTTTGTCCACGTGGGAGCGTGATGGGGGGTGAGAAAAAGCAGGAGGAGAAGGGAGAGGAGAAAGAGGAGATGATAAAAATATCACAAAGATATCGACAGAAACAAGAAGAAAACAAGCAGGGGGTTTATGAAGAAGCACCGTAGATAGAAGATGCAGACTCCCACAGCTGTTTTGGAATCATCCCCGGCTGTCCTTCGTATCGTCTCTTCCCACTGTTCACTCTCCTGGAGAGTTATAGAACAGCAGGGACTTGCCTGACAGTCTCGTCCTTAATTCAGTCCAGAAGACCCTGGGAACATCTGGCTCAGAACAGATTAGGGGTCTGCAGCCTAAGGGCTGCCATCTGCTTTTATAAATAAAGTTTTATTGAAACATGACATGCTCATTCATTTCTATGTTGTCTATGGCTGCTTTTAAGCTGCACTGGCAGAGGTGAGTAGCTGAGACAGAGATTGTATGGCCAGCAAGGCCTGAAATATTTTCTATCTGACCCTTTGCAGAAAAGATTACCGACCCTAGAATAGGACATCTGGATCTCTAAGGACCGAGGCACAGAAATACATTTTCCTCTTACTTTTCACTCCTCACCAGGGGCCCTTGCTTTCCCAGCTAAACTTTCCACACGCTGAGGGTTGAGACAAGAGTCGTGCATCCCTTTGCACCTATGTCAGAGGACCGGGATCATTTTGCCAGAGGTCAGGAACACACCAGGGACAGAGGATGGAGCAGCCCCCCTGTCCTACCCCTGCCTGGAGCCCATGCCCTGGGGCTCAGCAGCCTGTGTGCGGACACCAAGGGCTTATAGCCTCTCAGCTCATAAAGCAGAGCTGAGACCAAAGCCAGGCGTCCCCAGGCTGGGCCTGGTGCTCTCTCTGCTATCACTCTACCTCATCGGGAAGTCCTGGTGGAGGTGGTGGGATTTGACTGTGCTTCGCAGCCTGAGTGAGATGTAGCCAAGAAAAGGCCCATAATGAATCCTCCTTCAGAACCTAAACACTGCAGAGCAGCACTTCAGGGCACTGGATACACAATGCATCGTTTGTTACAAAGCATGAAGGTCACTGGTCTAGAAGTCAGCAGACCTACGTTTTGTTCTGGAGCTGCTACTGATGAGCCACATTGTCTTGGGCACATTACTTCTTTCTGAGCCATTCTAGGCTCAGACGTAACAGGGTGGAGGAGCAGATGACATGGGCTGCCGCCAGCTCTGCTTTTCTTAAAATCCTGGGGTGCTCTTGTTGCTCATAAACGATGGGGCCTCTGATACACAGCCCAGCAAGGTACCTAAACTCTGGCTGCTTTTGCACCAAAGTCCATCCCAAATGCGGCCGGCCAAGGGTGCAGTTGCGGAGCATGGGCGTCTGACTGGATTTGTGGGGTGGCGTGCAGACAAAGGGGAGCAAAGGCCCTGAGAGATGGAGCACCACGTCACAGCAATGGACTGGAACCAGCAGGAGGAGTGACCTCACTGGGGGACATGGCTGGCTGGTCTGGAATTAGAGAATGCCTTTCAGGCGTGGCCTGGTTTAAGGCTTGGAACAAAGAAACAGACTCGGGCCGGCCGCCAAGCCCAGATCTGCCCCTCTG